ACTACTAGTCTACTACTATGGTTGTGTAACTACTAGTTATAATAGTGTGTGGTAACTACTAGTCTACTACTTGGTGGTAACTACTAGTCTACTACTGTGGTGGGGTAACTACTAGTCTACTACTATGGTAACTCTAGTCTACTACTATGGTGTGGTAACTCCTAGTCGTACTTCTACTCTGAACATGTGTACATGGTACATGTCCACATATTAAAAGCACAGTGGGTTGTAGTGAGCTGTGGAGGTCTGTGTTTCCCAGACCGCTGGTCGGTCGGTGGAGCTAAGCGGGGCATTAAACACACGATAAAGCACAGCTTTAATGGCCACCAGAGGAGAGGAGCGCAGTGGAGAGCACACGGTTGTTGATTTCTTTCCCACCGCAGTAAAACACCCACCGCCCTCTCTCCTTTCATAGGTCGTCTTTAATCTCTTCCTCCTCAGGGCGGATGGCTTTCCAGCTCCCTCCCCCTGGACCCCCCCACAGACTGTTAACCCTCTAGCTACTTCATCACCCAGAGAACACATCAACCACACACTACCTACCTCTCTCACAAACCCACACATACGGTATCATCGACAAGTCTCACAAAGAAGTGTTAGAATTGAAATGCATATGGAGATTACAGCGAGGAGAGCGAGAGAGCGACTCCAACCTTGAGAATGCTGAAGCCTCGCTTCTCATCTCCTAACACTTGACAGACTGGGACACACACGCTACACAGGCATTGTGTCCATGTTTCACTGTGTCCTAAGCATTATCTAGGCCGGCACCATTTAGATAATCAGGAAGTGAAAAACAACAGCGTGGTTCAGAGCTCTCTGACGGTGGTTCTAATTTTACCCTCCATTCACCCCCAGACAAAGACTAGGAGACCACACCGCGTATTACTACGGAGAGAAAAGAACAGAGGAGCGGAGAGAAGAGGAGAGGAGGAAAAAAAGAGGAAAGAGGGGAGCGTGAAAAAGGCCGGGGCGCGCTAAGTAGAGTTTTAATTGAGCGGGCGTGATCTCTCATTTCTCTCGCTTTTCTCTCGTACTCATTCAGCCAGTGAGTGGGAGTACAGCGTTGAAGGGGGAGAGTGCCGAGAGAGAGAGAGGGAGGGAGGGAGAGGGAGGAGACAGGGGTGTCGAGAGAGCAGTGGGGGGCCTGGGGATATGGAGAGGGTGTGTGTGTGTGTGTGTGTGTGTGTGTGTGTGTGTGTGTGTGTGTGTGTGTGTGTGTGTGTGTGCGGATGTGTCTGAACGGCTGTGCCTCTGAGGTCTGGCAGACAGACAAGAGAGGAGGGGGGATATGAGCTGCGATAAGACCCTACAGCACTCTCACATAAGGGCCTGTGTGTGTGTGTGTGTGTGTGTGTGTGTGTGTGTGTTTGCGCTCTCTCAGAGAGAGCGCGAGCGGGTGAAAGAGATCGCGTGAGCATGCATTTTTAGAGGGCAGAGCTATATGTGTTTGTTATCCTTTATGAGTGCTTGAATTGAATGTGCTGCACGTGTGTGTTTTTAAAGGTCACTCCTGCGAATTCTTGAGGAAGTAAAACCTCCAGTGTTTTTTATGGCAAGCATGTGTGCTGACAATCACTTACTTTGGACACGTAAGCATGCAAATGAGTACAATTAGGTGTGCCCATCCCAGTCTCTGTGTGTGTCTGTCTGTGTTATTAGTTCTGGCAGGTACAGGACAAAGCGTTGTCTCATTTTCAATCCAGCCTCATTAACATATCCCATTGACACCCTCGGCACGGCAGGATTGTGACGCGAGAGAGAGAGAGAGAGAGAGAGAGAGAGAGAGAAAGAGAAACGACTCGTGTCGCGACACGCATCGAAAGACTAAAGGATTATGAAATATGCAGGAAGTGAGTGTGTGTGTGTGTGTGTGTGTGTGTATGCAAGGCAAAGGGCTTGGCTGCAAGCGTGACAGCCGGTAGGGACTATACAGGGCTGTGTGTGTGTGTTGAGTGGAGACACTGTGTCGAGTGTGGCGCTGCTAGCTGGTCAGTGACAAGCGAGTGACAACACAAAGACAGGAGGGCCAGTCTCAGCACTATGCACTTTCTACCCTTCCCTCACCTCCTTCCCTCACCTCCTTCCCTCACCTCCTTCCCTCACCTCCTTCCCTCCATGAACATTGACCTCACATGACAGAAGAAAGCAACATGGTGGAATCTTATAGCTTACTTTAATGGCAAACAAAGCCACAAAATATGTAGAACTTCCGATATTCACTATTTAACAAACACATACAATTAATCTGAATAAATAACACACAGCCAAATAGCTAAATATAATCTTAATTTTATTAGTGGTGAAATGATAGCTGCTCTCTCCCAGTTCTAATAATGAATAGATGCTGTGATCAGACAGACTATGGAAATCACTGCATAACCAATGTCAACCGTTTCAGCAGATAAAAACAACAGTGGCGTCTCTTGCAACCACAGTAAGAAACACAAACCAACGCCATGTCTCACCACTGATACTCATTCCACTCACACACTGCACTCCAAAACCACACGCAAATACACGACTCACTGTAGATGTATACACACTCTCCAACCGGGAATTGAGATTTTGCACTGAAGCCAGAGTGATATTCCACATTTGAATGTGAATGTGCATGCGTGTGTTGTGTGTTGGTGTGTGTGTGTTGCGAGTGTGTGCTGTGTGTGCTGTGAGTGTGTGTGTGCTGTGAGTGTGCGTGTGTGTGTGTGTGTGTGTGCGTGTGTAATTAACGGTAGTCCTAAGGCTAAGTGATACAAGTGTGAAGAATGCGGGAGAGATCGATCCCAACGGAGCCTCCCAGCTTTGCACACCGACTGGAATTTGTTTTGGAGGGGCTGAGAAATGAAAGCAGGCGGGCAGGCGGCAAGCCCAGCGTGTGGAGTGGAGGGGGAGGAGGAAGGAGGGAGGGAGCGGCGCGTTGAAAGGCCTGGCCTCGCAGCCCTGTCATATTTCACAGTCTTCCTCTCTCTCTTCCATTCTCTACAGTGCTCACTCTGTCTGCTGCGATGTGCTCTCGCTCCCCACCCTCTCTCTCCGTGCTGTGCGAGAGAGAGAAAGAGAGAGAGAGAGCTAGAGATATATAGAGAGAGAGCTAGAGATATATATATATATATATATATATATAGAGAGAGAGAGAGAGAAAGAGCTAGAGAGAGATATATATATATAGAGAGAGAGAGCTAGAGAGAGATATAGAGAGATATAGAGAGAGAGAGAGAGAGAGAGAGCTAGAGAGTGATATAGAGAGAGAGTGCGGGCGGCCTCAGGGAGCTGCTTGTGGCTTATCACACGCAGGCAGTTAGAAAAGCGCTTCCTGTCGGGGGCCCGCTGAAGGAGGGAGGGAGCCAGGGAGAGAGGGAGGAAGCAACGGAGGGAGAGACAGAGGGAGGAAGCGAGGGAGGGAGGGAGAGACGGAGGGAGGGAAGGAAAAAACCCTGAAGGCTAGAAAAACAAGATGCCGTTGGGTTTACACTCAAACACAGCAGCCATGTCTAGCGGTGCCGAGCGGGGAATGAGGGAGGGAGAGAGGCCTCAGGGGCGGACAGGGCTAGCGGAGGAGAAGAGGAACAAGGGAAGGAGGGAGGGAGAGAGGAAGAGGAGAGCGGACGCTACAGGATTAAATCTGCCCTCCCCTCCTCCTCCTCCTCCTCACGTATAAATCAAAGAGCTCCGTCTGGAGCGCATGCCTCGCTGCCTCCAGCACACACACTATGGAGTACACACACACACACACACTCCAGACGCTGGTCTACTAAAACCAACCCTACCTTTGATCTACAGGGAAACCATTTCTCCCACCTCACACACACACACACCTCCAAACCGTTTTATCTTCCCAGGGGGACATTTCATAGAACACACTACCAATTCTCTCCAACCCCAACTCCATCTGTCCTGCTGTCCACCTCAGGTAAAGACCACATTCAATTTGAGACGCTCTCTCACCCTTCCTCTAACCCCCGAGCTCATCCCATCTCCCCTCGTCTCAAAAGGCTGTCTGCAGTCTGCAGTCTGCTTTAAAAGTACAATGTTTTGCATCGGAGGGTAAGAAGAGGGGGAGGGAGAGGACGAATCATGCGTTCCAAACAGCATTAACGGTTGGTTTTCCTGCGCGCGGTGCCAGTCCTTTCAGACAGCCCTGCTGGAACTAATCCACAGGCTCATTAATCTGGGGGGACAAATTAGTCATGGACGGCCTTAGTCCCAATATACCAGGGTTTAGACCAGGAAAAGGGATAGGAGGAATTTTTAGGGACCCCAAAAAAGTATGTAGTTTTGGGAAACCGGGATGGATGTGGTAGGAAAGGGTTAAGAGCTACTGGAGACAGGAGAGACAGAGAGAAGAGCTGTACTCCAGCAAGTCTGTGTGTGTGTGTGTGTGTGTGTGTGTGTGAGAGCAGTGTGTGCGTGAGGGAAAGCAGTGTGTGTGTGTGCTAGCTAGGCGACTGCTCCGAGCTCTGTGCCTGGTGGAGGGCTCTAACATGTGGCCTCCCGTCTCTTAGAGAAGTAATGAGATGTGAATGATGTGGGTGGGGGGGGACGACACACACCCCCAACACTCAGAGGCGCAGAGAGAGAGAGAACGAGAGAACTAGCAGACATAAGCTGAACGAGATGGAGAGAATGAACGACAGAACAACCCAGGAGAGAGAGCGACAGAAGAACCAACCAACACACACTACCACCCCACACAACCCTTCAAACCAACACACACTACCACCCCACACAACCCTTCAAACCAACACACACTACCACCCCACACAACCCTTCAAACCAACCACAACTACCACCCCACCACAACCCTTCAAACCAACACACACTACCACTCCACACAACCCTTCAAACCAACACACACTACCACCCCACACAACCCTTCAAACCAACACACACAACCACCCCACACAACCCTTCAAACCAACACACACTACCACCCCACACAACCCTTCAAACCAACACACACTACCATCCCACACAACCCTTCCACATATTGTATCAGATCATCTTACCTCGTATCCTAGACGGGAAGCCCTCTGGAGCAGGGTCTCTCCTGAGTTCTTGTTGACGATGAGCCTGCGGGCCTCAGGAGGCATGGGTCGGCTGGCAGGGGTACTGGTGGGCACCGGGGGGGTGGAGGGGGTTGGCGTGCGGGCCTGGGTCTCTGTAGGGCTGGGCAGGGGGCTGAGCTCGGGGGCCGGGGTGAGAGGGGGGGGCGGGGGAGGAGGGTTTGAGGGGGGAGGAGTGGGAGTAATCCGACAGGGAGGAAGACCTCCTCTGCTTCTCGCTGCAGCGCTTTTCGTTGACCTGGTGTGTGTGGTGGGGGGGGAGGGGGAGAGAGGGAGAACGTATTAAGAGTCTGGATGACAGATATTCCACATAAATCTTCTGACAATCACATACTGAGACAACGCTATCCTCTCTCCATTCTGTGTGTGTGTATGTGTGGCTCGACACACCTGACACATGGCCGTGGAGTGGGGGAACAACAGAACAGAGAGCGGAGGAGAGGAGAGAGAGTCTGAAAGAGGAACACAACACTGAGGTTATCAGAGAGCTTTCCCTCTTTCAGCCTCCTCCTCCCTCGGCTTTTATTATCTGAGCTGCCCTCCTCTCCATCCCTCCCTGTCCTCTCTGCGGAGGTGATGGTTTATGCCGTCCTCCCCTCCCCTCCCCCCTTCCTTTCCCTCTTCTCCTCCTCCTTTCTTCTCTCCCTCTACGGAGATTAGGGTCGCTGGTCTAGTCTAGGGTGAAGTGCTAATTATTCCCGACCACAGGTTGTGTGTGTGTGTGTGTGTGTGTGTGTGTGCGCGCGTGTGTGTGTACTGACTGCACGGTGGCGGGGCTAATAAATGTCAGCTCTTCTCCAGGGGCCCCGGCCGTGGCCTCGCAAAGTCATTTATAACCATGAGCACACGCTTGTCACCAAGAGAGAGAGGGAGGGAGAGAGGGGAAGGGAGAGATGGAGTGATGGAGGAAGAGGGGGAGGGGGAAGCGAGAGCGTGACTTGACTGCCCACCGCCTGAAATGCCCCAGGACACACACGCGCACACAATTGTTACTCCAAATGTTAAGCGCCTAACAAAAAGCATATTTTCTCACACACTACCTTTCTAACGCTGTTATAAGTTAGGCAAAGGCAGCCATTATAGCAACACACTGCGGTTACAAATTCTACTAATATATCTTCTTCACACATTCCAGATGGTTGGCTATCCAGTTAATATCAATAGCTGATGGTTGGCTATCCTGTTAATATCAATAGCTGATGGTTGGCTATCCTGTTAATATCAATAGCTGATGGTTGGCTATCCAGTTAATATCAATAGCGGATGGTTGGCTATCCAGTTAATATCAATAGCGGATGGTTGGCTATCCAGTTAATATCAATAGTTGATGGTTGGCTATCCAGTTAATATCAATAGTTGATGGTTGGCTATCCAGTTAATATCAATAGTTGATGGTTGGCTATCCAGTTAATATCAATAGTTGATGGTTGGCTATCCAGTTAATATCAATAGTTGATGGTTGGCTATCCAGTTAATATCAATAGTTGATGGTTGGCTATCCAGTTAATATCAATAGTAGATGGTTGGCTATCCAGTTAATGGTTGCCACATCTAGATTGTTACCCTGAGTGTGACAATGTTTTATGTAAATATTACTTACATGTATGAAATTATAAAATGCAATATTTAAAAATGGGATCTGAAAAAAACCCTCCATATTTAGGCTATGCATTTCTGATTTGACACATTTTAAAGACACGTGAAATTAATGCGACGCTTCTAAAAGGAAAGCAACATGAAAGACGTTACGATGCTTTCATGACATAGATAAGCACATTGTGTGTGTGTGTGTGTGTGTGTTTGGACACATCTGTCAGCGACGGCGCTCGCAGCAGTCAGCGAACGGCAAACAGGATACAGACGCGGCGTCTGCCCCAGAGAGATCTGTGTGTGTGTGTGTGTGTGTGTGTGAATACCGGAGCAGGGGGGAGGAAGGAGGAAAGAGGAGGAGTTAGAGAAATAGGGGAAAGGGAGTGGAGAGTTCATGCGAAGCGCGAGGCTCGGGGAGGGGGGCTGTGTGTGTGTACGTGGTGTGATTCTGCAGGGGCCGTGCTGACAGCTGCCTCGCTGGGTAATTCCTCAGGGCTGGACGAACAGACACGCCATCACACACACACACACACACACACACACACAGAGTAACAGCACACCACAACATCTGCAATATAGTCAGTATTGTGATGTGATCTACATAGCCAGAGACAAGGCTCTCACAGACATGACAGACACCAGCCGAGGCCCATTACTGCTCCCTAGGGTTGGTGTGTTTTGTGGAGAATGTACTTCCGTCACACAGGCCAGACCTCTAGAGCACACTCCCCCTCTTTCCCTTTTTCTCTCTCCCTCACTCACTCCTTCCATCCCTCCTCCTCTTCCAGTCTGGGGAGGATTGTGTTCCGAGCAGGGGGAGGTCACAGCAGTGACACACACACACACACACACACACACACACGGTGACCCCAAGCACACCTCCCTCTGAGCTTTCCCAGTGAGCTCCAATAAGCCCCATAATTGTAATAATCAACATTGTTGTGATTTGAAGCATATTCAAGGAGCTCTGCCCAGGGGGTTTCAGCCCATGGGAACACACTGTGGAACACAGAGGACTCGCTCTCTCACACAGAGAGAGGATGACAGAAAAACACAGAGAGAGAGAGAGAGAGAAAGAGAGAGCGAGCGAGAGGGTGTGTTTCCGCAAGAGTGTGTGCACAAAAGCATGAAAAGGAGTGTGTGTGTGTGTGTTCCACTCACCTTGTTCTCTCTCTCCTCCCCCAGCTCTTCATTCCCCAGCCCCAGCCTCTCCCTCTCCCTCTCCCTCTCCCCCAGCTCTTCATTCCCCAGCCCCAGCCCCACCCTCTCCCCCAGCTCTTCATTCCCCAGCCCCAGCCTCTCCCTCTCCCTCTGGCTGGTGTGTTTAGTCTTGCACTGCCGCTTGCCCTTGGGCTTGTCCTGGTCGCCGTGCCGACGGAGTCTGGGGGCCACCAGGTCCCCCGTTTGGTTGGGGTCATGGTCGGGGTGAGGGCCGGGGTGGGGGGGTCCCAGCCCCAGAGCACTGGTCCTGCGGTGTTCCTTTAGCCTCTGTCTCTTGTCTGACAGCCGTGGGGGGGTGGGGGGGACGTGGGGGTGTGCCGGGGCCAGGGAGTGAAAGGGGGTGAGGGCGGGGGTGGTGGTCTGGAGGGGTGGTCTTCTGACAGGGGTGTTGGACGGGGTCCGGGAGAGGCGGTCCAGATGCGCTGGGGTCAGAGGAACAGACGGTAGCACCACTAGACAGAGGGAGGGAGAGAGAGAGGTTAGCTGATCCATTCCCAACAAACAGAACCATCTCCCACAGAGAAAATACAACCAGCTGAATTTAACAAAGATCAGCGTTACACTACAAATACTACATATCCCCTGGAACTACCGGAAGTGCAGGCTTTTGTTCCAGCCCAGCACCAACACACCTGGTGGACCTGATAAGACAGAAAGAATGGACTATTGTTTGTTTCAAGGCCATGTGCGACAGCCAACACCATAAAAAGAAGTCTCTGTTCTTTCCCCAGTCTCTCTTCTTTCTAGGATGAAAACAAAACAAGCATGGATGTAGACTTTCCTCCAAGGTCTCGTTAGGGAATGTGATGGGACAGAGAGGGCTGGGGCTGAATGCTAGAGTGACGTTCTCACGAAGACGTCCGTGGTATCTGGGGATTCTGATCTAGAGGAGGGGGTTATGGGATACAGGAGGGAAAATATGAAATATGACAGATTAACAGAGAAGGAGAACGGAGAGAGAGAGAGAGAGAGAGAGGAGAGAGAGAGAGAGAGAGAGAGAGAGAGAGAGAGAGAGAGAGAGATCGGGCCGGCAAGAGACGGAGAGTGATCGCAAAAGGGCAGCTAGCCTGCGAGACAGAGAGAGAGAAAGCGAGAGTGAGGGGGAGGGGGAGGGAGAAGGAGCAGAACAAAGAGAGAGGGAGTGTAGGAGAGAGAGCGAGGGAGAGAAAACACAAGGGACTGGGGGGGGTGCAGAGAGGAAAAAGCGAGAGGAGGGTGTGTGTCAGCTGTTTTCCATTGCGTGCTCCAACAGCGGCTTGAAACATACAAGATGACAAACCTTGGGTGCAGCTGCAATACACAGCGCACACACTCACCAACACACAACACACACACACACTCACCACACACACACACACACACACTCACACACACACACACACACACGTGGTGAAGAGAAAGGGAGGCGGTTTCAGAGAGCCAGTGGGGAGTTTTACCTCGTCCATCTGGTAAATGATTTATTGTTCTGGGCGGGAGGCTCACTGCAAATGGCCTTCCTCCTGCTCCTCCTCCTCTCCTCCTCTCCTCCTCATCTCTCCTCCTCCGAGGATATCCAGAGGTGAGAGGCCGATCCACCACACACACAAAGGTGTGCCTGTCACACACACACTGGTTTTCACACTATCCTGGTCACACACAACTGGTTTTCACCACTATTATGGTCACCCACAAACTGGTTCTCACACTATCCTGGTCACACACACACTGGTTCTCCACACTATCCTGGTCACACACACACTGGTTCTCACACTATCCTGGTCACACACACACTGGTTTTCACACTATCCTGGTCACACACACACTGGTTTTCACACTATCCTGGTCACACACACACTGGTTCTCACACTATCCTGGTCACACACACACTGGTTTTCACACTATCCTGGTCACACACACACTGGTTTTCACACTATCCTGGTCACACACACACTGGTTTTCACACTATCCTGGTCACACACACACTGGTTTTCACACTATCCTGGTCACACACACACTGGTTCTCACACTATCCTGGTCACACACACACTGGTTCTCACACTATCCTGGTCACACACACACTGGTTTCTCACACTATCCTGGTCACACACACACTGGTTCTCACACTATCCTGGTCACACACACACTGGTTTTCACACTATCCTGGTCACACACACACTGGTTCTCACACTATCCTGGTCACACACCACAGCTCTTTCCTAAGTACTAGTACATGGAGGACGGGCTAAATGGAGGACGGGCTAAAGGGAGGACGGGCTAAAGGGAGGACGGGCTAAATGGTGTGAAAAAAATGACGTGTTCTATATTGTGTGTGTGTGTGTGTGTGTGTGTGTGTGTGTCTCAAGAACTCTAAGGACAGACTGGGTACCATGACAACAATTGGCACATGTTCTGCTTACCACCAACCAATTCCTATCTGCAGAGAACAAATACACACGTACGTGTGTGTGTGTGTGTGTGTGTGTGTGTGTGTGTGTGTGTATGTGTGTGTGTGTGTATGTGTGCCAATCTGTCTCGCAGTATGGAGGAGGATCCCCATCATCCCCTAGCTACCTCTGATCCCCCCCCTCCCCCCTAGGGAACAGTCCCCAGAGGGATGTAGTGTACCAAAGCACATGGCGTGTGTAAACCACTTCCCTTCTCCTATAAGGTCTAATTAACACCCTGTACTGTTGTGTTTCCTCTAGGGCAGGGGTATTCAACTCTTACCCTACGAGCTCCAGAGCCTGATGGTTTTCTGTTATACCTGATCATTCATTACACCCACCTGGTGTCCCAGGTTTAAACCAGTCCCTGATTAGAGGGGAACAATGAAAACAAAGGGTTGTTTCCTCTAGGGGGTAGAGGAGACACTTTAAATATCATTTCACCCCTCATCCTATTAATCCCCCCTTTTCATGACTCTTGGTTTAACAGGGCTCTTATCCGCCTGGGGTGCAGCTGCACATCTTCAAATTAGTCAGCGCACTCTGACAAACCCTGGGACAACGTGGAGGGGCTTTGAACACACCTCTAAACACCCTGACAAACGAGACTAATGGAAAGGGTGGGTGGTATCTGTGTCGTGTCTAGTCACTTCCACAGAGGATATGGATGTGTGTGCGTGTCTGTGTCTGACTGAGGGGTGTGTGTAGCACAGGGATTGCAGAGGAATGGGTGTCATCTGTTGCAAAGCGGATATCTCTTTGCGGAGCGTTGAGTGTGTGTGTGTGTTTGTCGTAGGTTCATTAAACAACCATTAGGATGCAACATGGCCGAGAAGTGACTCAGAAAATAGCAGTTTGACTGACACACCTCTGCATGTTCCATACGTCAGTTAGACTCTCTAAGACAAGGAAGAAGGGAAAGATATCAAGGAGAGAGAGAGAGAGGGTGTGAACAGGTGACTAACAGAAATAACAGGTGACTAACAGAAATAAATCAGAGATGCTAAATTGGAGACGCTGACATGAGAAAGTGAGAGACAAAGATGGGAAAAAATACATTGGCTGGCAGAGAGAGAGAGAGAGAGAGAGAGAGAGAGAGAGAGAGAGAGAGAGAGAGAGAGAGAGAGAGAGAGAGAGAGAGAGAGAGAGAGAGAGAGAGAGAGAGAGAGAGAGAGAGAGAGAGAGAGAGAGAGAACTGCTGGTAGAACTACCAGTGTTATTAGCAGTGGAATCTGACGCCTCATTATGCCCAGGCACAAGTTGCCAAGGCGATATCGTTTAAGAGCCAGAGAGAGGTAGTGGGAGAGAGCGAGAACGTTGTGTGAGAGAGAGCGAGAGAGAACGTTGTGTGAAAGAGAGCGAGAGAGAACGTTGTGTGAGAGAGAGCGAGAGAGTCAGACAGAAATCTAGAGAGAAGGAGAGAGAGGTACAAGCTGTCTGTCACCCAGACAACCACTAACATCTCCCCAAAACGGCTGCCTAGGGCCTTCGTTTCCACAACAACACGTTCACTTCCCTGAGCTCTGTTCTCCCTGTAACCCCAAAGAAGGGAACATACAACATGTAGGCTATGCTAGCTAGCTGGCGCCAGGCCAATCGTCAAGGTCATTTAGCCAAGGCAACACTCCTGTAGCCTACAGTTACTAAGGTCGAAAATGGGAGCAAAGCTCACCCCCCCCCCCCCCCCCAAAAAAAAATAGGTGCAGTGAAATGTGCAGTGAATGTATTCATGGTGCTGAATGCAGTGAGTGACTCAACACTATAGCGCTGGAGTGGCTTTTATTGATGTGGAGTCAATAAAAGGTGGGGATATTGTTCTTCATGGACGGTGGTAAAGAACATGATCATCATGCATTCCACATTCACACAGCTCAAAGCCTCCGTGTCTCAATTGAAAACTGTTGTCACCATCTGCCAGAAAGGATGGTTGGATGGATAATTATTATTATGAATAATATATGACTACCTTTGAAAACCCAAGCTCTAGCAGACCAAAAATAAGCCATTTTTATCAACTTTGTTTTAACGTACCTCGCTCGTTGTCGCTGTGACCAAACGTTTCATGGCACCAGGCGTGGCCGTTGACCTCTGACCTCCGTTTCAGGCTCCGGTCTTCCTGTGAGGCAACCTTGACCTTCCTATCTGTGGCGCCGACCTCGGGGCACCCGTTGGGCAGGGTCGTCGTCATGGCGATGCTTCCGTTGACCTCTGTCGACCTCTGGGTGGCGGCCTGCCATTGGCTGAGCTCCTGGGCGAGGCGGGGCTTGCTGAGTCGGAGGCCGGTCAGCTCGATACACACCTTGAGGTTTTTGACTTCCTCTGGGACAGGCTCAGTGGGGCCTGGGGAGATGGAAATGGACAACCAATGGTTAAATCAACGTTTGGGAAAACAAGTCAGTGTGGGTTAGATGATTTATGAAGTTCACTCAGAGCAACAACCTAATTGAAACCAATGGAGAGAGGCTGTGTAATGGAGAGAGGCTGTGTAATGTAACTGGAAACGCTCTCCATCTGTCCTGTTCACTGTCCCTCCCCAAATCCACCACCAACACTTTAAAATAGAAATCATCTAATAATTAATGGAAAACACAAGAAAACAATTCTCTCTAATTACATTTGGGTGGAAAAATTATTGCACACCATTAGAATTTTCATAAAAAGAGGGAATGAATTCTAACGAAATGCGCTTGAGTTAAATACATTTTGTTGCATTGGGAGCTCAGCTAAATGTAATAGAAGTTCAAACCTTTTTAAAGCGCTCACCTCCAACCCCATTAACAACAAATGGGAGCATTTCCATTGTGAGTTTTAAATAAAGTAGCGATGCTCAGAAGGTTATTTTGGGTTGAAACCAAACTGGTGTGTTTGTGAAGCCCCTTGACGAATCACAGCTGTGTGTGTGTGTGTGTTTGGTTTCGTGTAGGCAACTGAACACAAATCACACTACATGAAAGGACTGAGAAAGACACCACCACAAAAGAGAACAACAGAGGGAGAGAGAGAGAGAGCCCCGCCACATGAAAGCAGACGAATCCAGGCAGGGGAGAGAGTGATGACAGACAGGATGGGGGGATTCTCTCCTTGCTACTGAGCGAGGGATGGGGAAGCTGGAAAGGAAAGAGGTAGAGAAGAATAAAGGAGTGGTAAATAGGTCCATGCTGAGGGCCCTTACAGTTTGTTAGCCTGGCTCTTTTGGCTGGAACGTCCATCCTCTCCTCCTCTTCTCTCTCATTTCCATCCCCCTCTTTCCCCTGGCTGTCGCCCTGGAGTGGCAGGCACGGTTCCAGGGCGTATGTGTGTTTCCTGCCGGGCACCGCAGTGGGCATGGAGGCTGGCATGGTGGGCATGATGCCAGGGTTGGCATCCTTCTGGGCCAGCCTTTCCACTGGGGCCGTGGGCAGGCTGGCAGGCTGCTCCCGTGGGGGCATACACACCCTCTCGTCTTTCTCCATCGTCATCCCCCTCTTCCACTCCTCCAGGGTGGGGCAAGCCTGCTCCCTCTCTCTGGGTGGGAGGCCCTCGGTGTGTGGGCATCGCTGGAGAACAGGCACTCTGTTGTTGGGGCACGTCGGCTGCACACCTGCACACACAGAAGGGGGATAATCAAATACACTGAGCAGCACTGGAGAAACCACTGCCCTCTCATCAAACTAAATCAGTTTCAAATGATGACTGCTGGTCCAGGCTCAAGACGAGGTAGAAAATACCCCCCACACAAATAGCAGCCACCACTATGTTAGGCCGAGGCCCACCATGCTCTTCCCACACAGAGGCAGAGAGAGAGAGAGAGGGGCAGAGAGAGAGAGGGGCAGAGAGAGAGAGAGAGAGAGAGAGAGAGAGAGAGAGAGAGAGAGAGAGAGAGAGAGAGAGAGAGAGAGAGCAGGCAAGCGACTGGGCCTTTCCGACTCCCTGGGCTCAAATTAGCTTCAAACATCAGCTCGGGCTGGCTTCCAGCTCTACCCCCTATTCCCACCCACTGCTGCTTTCAGCTCTCTCTCCCTCTCCATTCCGCTCAGTCCTCTCTCGCTTTTCCAGCCCTCTTTCCCTCTCTCTTTCTCCCCTCTCTCTTCCTCCCTCCCTCCTCTGCATGTCCGGGGCTGTAAAAGGCTCCTTGAGAATGTCTCCAGGCGTTCTAAAGCAGCCGCTTGGATCAAAGGCAGCTGGTGGGGGTGTCTGCTCTCTCCATCGCCGGCTCTCTCCCTCCCTCCTCAGCTGGTGGGGGTGTCTGCTCTCTCCATCGCCCGCTCTCTTTCTCCCTCTCTCCCTCCTCAGCTAGTGGGGGTGTCTGCTCTCTCCATCGCCCGCTCTCTTTCTCCCTCTCTCCCTCCTCAGCTAGTGGGGGTGTCTGCTCTCTCCATCGCCGGCTCTCTCCCTCTCTCCCTCCTCAGCTAGTGGGGGTGTCTGCTCTCTCCATCGCCCGCTTTCTTTCTTTCTTTCTTTCTTTCTTTCTTTCTTTCTTTCTTTCTTTCTTTCTTTCTTTCTTTCTTTCTTTCTTTCTTTCCACTCGCTCTCTTTCTCTGGCTGTATCCCAGACCCAGGCTACATGCTGTGCTGCCTCACAGGGCTGCCCTTGTACTGGCCCGGACAGGAATGCCCCGCCCTGCTCTGAGCCACACACACACACACACAGGCTTGAACATACACTCTCACCCATCCCCCCAGGTCCTGTCCTGCCAGCGCCCCAAATATCTCTCCATCTGGTAAACAGCATCATATGACTCACGCCACTCCGCTCGGCACGGCGCACAACCCATAACGACAGTGTCTGCACCATGGCAACACGCCACCAAAGGGGGTCACCATGGAAACATGTGCCGCTCTGTGCGAAGAGGGCTACACACTGCCCCTCTCCTAATGTCCACTGGTTTCCAAAACGTCCAGAGAGGAAGCTAGTTCACCCATGCCGTGCAATATGCCATAATGGCTCTAACACACAGCGTGTTAAAATATCTTCCCCTAATATAGACTCCACATTCCTCTCCCCCACATATTCAACAGTGAAGTATTCTAATGTTGTGGCTTTTTATGCATAACAGGTCCTGTTGTAGGGGACGGATAGGGAAGGGTTAAATGTGAAGGCTGTTTTGTTACAATAGAGAGAGAAAAAGCCCTCCGTCAGCCCTCATGAGGAAGGGAGAGAGGGGGTAGGCTGGGCAGGCGTGCGGATGTGTTTACCGCCCCGTTTCCGCTGGTTACGAGCTGCTGCACCGTGTTACAGCTCTTTGGGGCTGTCCCTAGACAGGGAGGAAGTACGCAGCAGCTCTTTGAGGTAGGTAGGAGTGTGTGTGTGTGTGTGTATATGAGTAAGATAAAGAGCAGACAGGAGTGAGAGTGAGTGAGAGGCATACAGTACAGATAGAAGGGCGAGCATATATAGATTTGTATTTTATTTTATTTCACCTTTATTTAACCAGGTAAGCCAGTTGAGAACAAGTTCTCATTTACAACTGCGACCTGGACAAGATAAAGCAAAGCAGTGCGATAAAAACAACAGAGTTGTGTGTGTGTGTGTGTGTGTGTGTGTCTGGTGTGAGCGGAGCGCTCCGGGTTCCTCTTACCGTCCTTCTCAGCCTGGTCTGTGAGGGCTGTGGCCCCTGGCCCCGTTCTGACTGGGCCTTGGCAGCACGCCCAGTCCTCTCCTCCAACTCCATCCCCCTCTCCCTCTCCCCGCTGGCGCTGGCTGTCTGCCAAGTCCACCGCTGCCCCCCCTCCTCCTCCTCCTCCTCCCTCCTTCTCCTTCAGTTCCAGCTCAGAGAAGCGCAGCATAGCACGCTACAGACACACACACACACAGTCATGAGACCGACCCTGCGCTGCTCTCTTTCTCTCTCTCTCTCTCTCTCCGCACCGAGGCCTCTTTCCCTGCTCCTCTACAAAGGGTCTGCGTCCCCAAAGGCCAAAGTGACTTCCTTCCTTCCTTCCTCCTTCCCTTATTTCCTCCCTTTATTTATCGCCTCCTGTCCGTCATTTGCACTGATGTGGATGCAAGAGCTGACAGGGTGAACGCCAGCCTCTGGAGAACTCTTAGTTATGTAGCCTTAACCTTCACCTGTCAACTTGTTGTGAGATCAGATCAGTGCAGATTGAGGAAGGTGAGGGGGAAGGAAAGGAACCCATTTTAGACTCTGGCTGTGATATAGCTGTTCATGTTTTACAGTGAGGTCACCTCAACAACAGCTAACATTGACATCAATACAACAGTTATGGTCTGGTAACAGTATTCCATGCCCCTTGTCGATTCTTACTCCTGACTGTCTTTAACAGAAACACACAAAAACAACCACAGAAAAGCCTGATTCTTCTACTACGCTCCTGAAACCGCAAAAACCAAAATGAAAAGAATCATTTGTCAAATTTTGGAATAAGAAGTGTAAATGAACTGACCTCACAGTAAGCAGCAGGTTGACTTAATTTACTGTCCTCTTGTGTTAAGCCTTCCATCTAAGTAATTGAATTAAATGGGTGCTCAATATTTTTGGCCAGTCATTTCAGTCATACAACTGTCATTTCAGTGATATAGCAAACAACTGTGACATTCATTGATATTAAAACCCGTCCTATTAACATCACACAGTTATGCATATGAATTGATTTAATAAACAAGTCAACAGAGTAGTAAGGTAAACAGCAGTGTGAATAGTCTATAGATCACATTCAATCCAACTGGGTTTCTGACAGCCAAATGCCAATCTAGAAAGACATGAACACTGGAGCACACAATCATGGGAGTAGTAGAAACCTCCCTGTTGGACTCCCATATGGGAACCATTAAAGCAGTGGTTAATCAATGACCAGGCAGCAGAGGCAGATATCTGCTGGCTGATTGTGTGTAGGTTACATGAGGTAATGAGTATGGGGAATAGGTTTGGGGCTGGGGAATAGGTTTGGGGTTGGGAGACCGAAGCTTGGGAATAAGGCTGGGGTTGGGGAATAGGTCTGAGGTTGGGAGACCGAAGCTTGGGAATAAGGCTGGGGTTGGGGCGAGAGCCGCTCTATTCGCAGGGCTTTGTTGAGTCTGTTTAGCGAAGGCTGGGCTGCTAGCGGGCGCTAATCTCCACCGTCGGAGAAGTACTGGGACTTGGCCAGGATTCCACTAGAGCAGAGCTGAGAGAGCCAGGCTGACTCCGTACCGCAGCGCTCAGCCAACAGAGCGAGGAGGAGGAGGACGGGGGAGAGGGGGAGGGGAGATTAACAGAGTATAATTTGAGGACAGAGGAGCCTTTTGGGGACTGGGAGAAGGGAGGGGGCTGGCTGCTCTACCTCTATGCCACCCCTCCTTCACCACCATCTATACCCCCATCCCCAGGGCTCACCTGCAGGTTAACAATAGCCCGGGGCTTTAAGAGCCCGACAGGCCGCCAAGGCACACACACGCTCAGAGGCACACAAACACACACACACACAAGCAGCCAGCAGCTGAGCTTCTGCCCGGCTGAGCAGCGCAGGCACACACACACAGCGTGTTGTGTTCACTCGCTCTCCCCGCAAACTAAACCACCACTGCAGTGGAGGGCAGCTCCACGGGCTCATAGCATGGGCGGGGGTGAGGGAGGGAGGGAAGCAGGGAGGATTGTAGGAAGGGAGGGAGGGAGACAGAGGGGAGGGGAGGCAACGGCCAACAGTAATTATACTGGAGCTTGTGGAGTCGGGGCTTGGCAGGGCAGAGCAGCTTATACAGAGCAGAGAGCTTCCTACTTCCAACTCCACTGCTCTCTATAGACCACTGTCTCCTTTAGTTCTGCCCAGTGAAACCTTACTGCCTGAAATCTTAGAAAGCCCTATCCTTTCAGTCTTCCTCCCTTGTGGTCCCAACTGCTAACACACCAGATTAAAGTCATCATCTAATCACAAAATCTTGATTTTCAAATCAGGTGTGTTATTCCTGGGTTGGAACAAAAGCCAACACGTACTGCCTCGCTCTAGGAACCAGGAAAGGACTATTGAGGATGTTTTTAAAGACTTTTAAAAGGTTAGTTATGTATTTGTTCTGGGAGCTCACCTGCAGTGCCCGCTGCTCTCTGCTCAGCTTGCTGGAGTCGGCGTACAGCTCGGTGGTGACACACTTGATGCGGTCACCAACGTAGCCAGAGGAGTTAGCGATGCGCTTGGCCAGGCTGGACCTCCTGGCCCTGGGGTAGCCTTGGTCGTCGTACTCCTCACCCTCGTGGGACTCTGTGTCCGTGTGCATGTCCTTGTCCAGGTCCGAGTAGTGGTCCATGGTCCTTTCATTCCTAAACCCAGATTCGTTCAAGGTGCGTTCCCTAGGAGAGTGGTCTCCGGAGGTGCGGTCCTCGCAAGAGCGGTCCCTACATGTACGATCCACACATGTACGGTCCCAAGAGCTGCGGTTCCCAGAACTACGGTCCACAGAGGTGGGGTCCTCAAAAGTACAGTCCCTGCTATCAAGGCCCTCTAAAGAGTGGTCTCTACGGTCCCAAGAGGTGCGGTCTCCAGAAGTCCTTGCGCAGCGAAGGGTCTGCTCCTCCGGCAGGTCAGAGAGGGGGCTGCTCTCTGCAGGGCTGGGGCTGTCCTCCTCATGGCTGGGGAAAGGGCAGGGGGAGAGGGAGGGGGGCTCAGGACGGAGGGAGGAAGGGTGGAAGCCCAGCCACAGCTGGCTGCGTTGCTGCTGCTCTGCCTGCATGTGGGCCTGGCCTGGCCTGAGTTCAACAGCCTGGCCGGTACGGAGCATGTGCTGGAGCTCTGCCTCTCTCCCCTCGTTTCTCCCAATACTCCCACTACCCACAGGTTTGGAGGGGTCTCCTCTCTTAGCACATGGAGAGACAGCTTTGGTCAGGGGAGAGTCGCTGTCCCCATCGTCTTGGATTAAGTCGATACAGACTATCTCCTCTCTAGTTCCCGTCAGGGGCTTGTGGTTGAGGCTCTTTGAGCCCAGGCCTGTGGACCGGTCTGTCTCTCTGTCCCCCCTGCGGGTGTGTTTAGTGTCTGGGGCCTGGGTCTGGCTCTTGTAGGCCGAGGCGGAGTCCTCGTGGTGCTGCCAAACCTTCTCATGGGGCCTGGACCGGAGCTCCTGCAGCCGCTCGCTGTTCTTGAGGTCCAGGCCTGTGTGGGGGGAGGACATGAGGGGGTGGACCATCTCCTGAGAGTCATGGTAGGTCATGTAGTCCCCGTGGCTGGGGGGGATGCCATACGGGAGGCCGTGCTTGGGGGGCAGGCGGGGTGGGTACAGGCTGCTGCTGCCCAGCAGGACAGGGTGGGGGTACACTGGGCCTTTGCCTGGCATGGGCATGTGGGGCAGGGACATGCTCTCCTGGACTGAGTAGGGCAGGTATCTGTTAGCGTAGGCTAGGCTAGGGGGCAGATAGCCGTCGCTCTGGGGGAGGTAGAGGTGGCTGGGGGGGTGGCCGGACGGATGGCCGTTCTCTAAGTGGGGCGGCTGCTGGGGTTTGAAGGGCATCTCCTGAGCCTCTGGTTTCTTGAGGGGTTTCAATGGCTTCCCAGAAGAGGGATGGCTGCCCACTCTGTTGGAAGAAGGGGCTTTCTCAGAGTAGTTGGGGGAGGATCTTGGCCAATCACCGTTGACCTTGGGAGAGGGGGAGGCAGAGGACGGTCGGCTCCCAGAAGGAGCCACCACAGATGGGGCAGGGCTCGGGACGACAGCCCCATCGACCTCACCTATCCTGGGACAGGAGGAGCTTCGCTGCTGTGGTGAAGAAAAGTTATCCAGGTTTTTGTTTTTGATGACAGAGGGGTCTTTGTTGTGGTTGGCGTCTGAGCTGGAGCTGTCGTGGACCAGGGTCGGGCTGGGCACCACCCAGGAGGAGTGTAAAGTGCTAATGATCTCAGGCCTCTCTGGGGTTTTGGAGGAAGCCTCTGACGGGGAGAGGGTCTCTTTGAGGAGCTCCCGGCTGGGGGGTAAGCCGTATCGAGCCGCGGGTGAGTATCCCAGCTTAGCCAAGGCCTCTAGTTTTGGGGGGAATCCGTTGGGGGAGCCTTCCAACTCCAGGATTTTGGCCGACAGATCCAGAGGCTTGTCCGCAGGGTCTTTGGCAGGAGCCTGTAATACCGCTGGTCTATCAGAAGACAAAGTCTTCAAAGGGGACTGGCTCTGCTTCCTTTCCCCGTTCCTCTCCACGTTCCTGTGCTCTGAGCTGCTACCCTGCTCTTTGAGTTTGGCTTTGTGGCTGTGGCTGCCGGACCGCACAGGGGAGCGGTGCTCAGAGGCCATGCTGCTCATGTAGAAAGGATGGGACACCGACGGGGAGGAAGAAGAGGTGGTGGTGGAGCAGGGGGGGCTTCTGAACAGTGACTTCTGGAAGTCCAAAGTGCTGTTGTCTATGAGAGGAGAAGGGGGAGGGACCGAGGTCTGGGGAGGGCGGGGGGCTGTGCGGGGGGACTGCATTATAAGTGCTGGTTTGGAGTCCACTGGTAGGCTGCTGCTAATACCAATCCCAGCACTAATACTACTGGTAATACTGCTACTGTTGTGAATGCTGCTGCTGCCAGAGCTCTTACTAGAGGAAGTCCGGCTGGGCTTACTACTGCTGCTGTTGCTGTGCTGCCTGTCATTATGGGACTGGGGTTGGGACTGGCACTGCCTGTCACTACTGTGTGACTGGTGATGGGGTTGGGGTTGGGGCTGCCTGTCACTATGGGACTGGTGATGGGGTTGGGACTGGGGCTGCCTGTCACTATGGGACTGGTGATGGGGTTGGGACTGGGGCTGCCTGTCACTGTGTGACTGGTGATGGGGTTGGGACTGGGGCTGCCTGTCACTATGTGACTGGTGATGGGGTTGGGACTGGGGCTGCCTGTCACTATGTGACTGGTGATGGGGTTGGGACTGGGGCTGCCTGTCACTATGGGACTGGTGATGGGGTTGGGACTGGGGCTGCCTGTCACTACGTGACTGGTGATGGGGTTGGGACTGCTGGTGTGCCTGGTGCTGCTGGTGAAGCTGGGACCCGTAGGGGGAGGCCTCGTGGTGGATCCGGGGCCCCAGGCCCTGCATCGGGGAGAGGGTGGTGGGGGCCACTGTGGCCATGGGGATCCTCATAGGAGGGGCCAGGGGGGAGGAGATGGGGGCCGGGGGGTACGGGGGCATGTAGAAGAGGCGCTCAGCCCCAGCGGCGCTACCCCCCGCCCCGCCACACAGGGACTGGTAGGCCAGGTGCTGGGGCAAGTAGGGTGAGGGCTGGGACAGGAACGAGGCCTTGTACATGTTGAGGGCTGCGTATTTGGAGGAGTCCAGGAAGGGGTACAGGCCAGGGTCAGCGTACGGGTTTACCGCCCAGGGCAGCCGCAGAAAGCCGTTGCTGCCGTTGAGGCCCAGCTCAGAGGGCTTATCTCCAGGCCCCACACGGCGCTCCATCCCCAGGCCCTCCCCTCCTCCGCCAGGCCTCTGCAACCCGGGGGGAGGGCTCTTATACAGACCCACATAACCGTTACCAGGCTTCCTGCCGTCCAAGGTCAACCCTTCGGGTTTGTAGACAAGGTCGTAGCCCAGGGGCAAGGAGGAAACCCCCTCCCTGGCTTTTTCGGAGGCGGACAGGGTGCGGATGCCCGGGTAGACCATCCCTCCGTGGACGCGGAGGCTCTCCCTCATCAGGCTGCTACGGTCCATGCCCAGGGCAGCTAGCGGGTTCATTCTGCAGGCAGCACTCGCATCCACCTGCAACAAGACAACACATAAGGCCAAAGAGAGGGGTGAGACTCAGAGCGTTATAGCACTGAAGGGATGACATTCTCATTCACCCACACACATTTATAGTTTCTCAGTATACTGTGGAATCCTATTAGAGAAGCTCTTGTGATTTTACATTAGAGAATATTAAAGTGAATTAACTCACTTTTGGAAATAAAATAAGTAGAATTTCCCCTCAATAAAAACAGATCCACGATCAACTTTTAAAGCTGTAGTAAGACCCTCATAAACAGTTTTAACACAAAGCAAGAGACCACTAGCCAGAGACGTGGGTATATGTTGTAGAATTTCCATTAGGAGCACATTAGTAATACATCTCCATTAATCAAGCGCGGGAGGAGTCATTTAACAGAGAGTCCCATACTGTAACCACAACACTTGAGAACATGTCTCAGGACCCAATCTACAAACAGGGAAAGTCAAGGTCATTGGAGAGCGCCACACAAGCAGCAGAATATGGAGCCTTGCTTTGCAAATTGCACCTTTATTCCCTATATAGTGCACTACTCTGGTCAAACGTAGTGCACTATCTAGGGAATAGGGTGCCATTTGGGACGTAGCCTTGCTCTATCTGGCTCTTGTAAGAGGGAAGCGTTAGCTGCTGCTGATTTCTAACAGGGGAAGAGAAGCCTTTGAGGCAGTCAGGCAAACGGCATGTATCAGTCTGAGCCATCATCACTAGCAGGGGGAATAATGTGTCTACCTGGATGGCTGATGTACCGCTAAAGTAGACCAACCCTCTGTTCTACTCCCACGGACCAAACCATACCTGGGTTCAAACAGTATTTGTTTTTATTCAAATACTTCAGCTGCACTTGATTGAGCCTTCCTGGCGCAATGGCACCAATGCAATTGTCCCAAAAGTGCCCATTTCACTCGCACTCCAAGGCAGGCTCAATCAAATATTCAAAGTATTTGAGAGATAGCCAAACACTATTTGGACCCAGGTCTGCCTGCCACAGAGCGAGTCCATGACAGAGCAGAGTACGGATGCCAGGAAGTGGATTAATTGAGTTTCCTGCCTGCCTACGGTACGATACGGGGGCGGCTGTTTGATTCATCTCATATTGGATCAACTGCAGGACCCATTTAGAAATGATACCAGCTAGCCCTGTGGAGGAGTAGCAACAACACAGTAATCCTACATCCAAATGAAAACCAAAGCCCTTGTGGAGGGCTCTTCCAGGTCTGCCATTCAGTACATTAGAGAGAGGGCTTTATATACAGTAGCTTACCATGCTTTGTGTGATGTGGTGGTTCCTGGATGGTTAGTTCCACATGGGTAGTCTGCCTCCCACCATCCCTCACTGGTACAATCCTGTCAAGACAGAGACAGAACAAATATGTGTTACCATCAATCAATCACATTTATAAAGCCCTTTTTACATCAGCAGATGTCACAAAGTGCTTATACAGAAACCCAGCCTAAAACCCCAAAGAGCAAGCAATGCAGAAGAGCAGTGGCTAGGAAAAACTGCCTAGAAAGGCAGGAACCTAGAGAGCGCGCGCGAGAGAGAGAGAGCGCGACAAAAAGCGCGAGAGTGAGTCAAAACAGCAGGTGACAAGGTAGCACGTCCGGTGAACAGGTCAGGGTTCCTCTTAGAAAAAAATATACAACTATTGGAACCATGACTTACAAATAATTTATGTTGGCACAAGATGGAGGGAAAGTTGGAGCATAACTATGGAATTTGGTAAACGAAAATGTACGCTTAATCCAGTATAAACTAATGTATAGAATTTATTATACAAGCGAAAAAATTCACAAATTCTACAGCACAATGGCAGAGTCGTCTTAAGTGTAAAACTAATAATGACTCAATAATCCATGCTTTCTGGGAATGCTATAAAGTCTGGAAGTTGTGGGCGGAGCTAGAAAGTTGGCTGTCAGAAGTATTACAATGTGAACGTACTTTTAATCTGTCTGTCTGCATATTTCAAGACATGGAATATGGGGGTGTAGTGAGATACCCGATGGCTTGGAGGATTCTCTTATCACTCATCTTGGAAAAACGTTTACTAAAAACTTGAAAATCAATCAATCCGCCATCATTAACACAATGGAAAAATCGAATGATTTATTATTTAAATATTGAATGTCCGGGACAAGGTAGCACGTCCGTTGAACAGATCAGGGTTTCATAGTCACAGGGAGAATTTCTTGGACTAATCAAATCTTGGCAAATGTAATGCATCTATGGTATAGCAATTTGACAATTCGGCGTGGGACCTACTACGTGTGGTTATCACGGAGCCAGAGCGATGATAACAAATTCCTCCTCTCAGCTCCTCTCCTAGGCAGAACATAACTCATAATCCAACGGCCCCAATGGCTGTCATCTGTCACAGGGAAACGTTTCAGCACTCGCTGCGCTCTGACAAAGATGCAAATCACCTCGCTGCCTCACCTGGGCTTTCCAGCCACACAGCTTGCTGCCTCTCCTCACCAGGGCTTTCCAGCCACACAGCTTGCTGCCTCTCCTCACCAGGGCTTTCCAGCCACACAGCTTGCTGCCTCTCCTCACCAGGGCTTTCCAGCCACACAGTTTGGCTGCGACATAAAAGGAGAGGGGGCCTTTGGCAGGCAACTACATAAACAAACACGCACCAGACGCATGCCACACACACAGTCACCCGCTATTGATGGGTTTACGGACGTGGGATTTCAATAATGCAGGCCTGCCCTTATCTTCAGACATGGCTCCAGTCACTGCCATTGAAGGAGGGGGGGGGGGGAGAGTTTTCATCCATCAAACTGTCCCCACCTCACAATCCCTCCACGCTCCCTTCCTACCGCCTGCTGGCTGCTTTCGTAATTTGCATAGCAACATTGTAGCTATGAAGCAACATTATCATTGCCAAGCAACCTGAACAAAGAAATGGGGCAAAAACAATGTGTCGAGGGGACTTCAACGTTTTAGATGTATGCAAATTCCCACCTGTGGATTGGGGGCATATTCTGGTGGAATGAAAGTCTCGTTAGAAAGCTACATTTCATCACTTCAGGTGACAAAAAACAATGGAAAGGATGGAAGTATGTGCACAATCTAGATATTGCAGTAGCAATATCTATATATACAGTGAGGGGAAAAGTATTTGATCCCCTGCTGATTTTGTACGTTTGCCCACTGACAAAGAAATGATCAGTCTATAATTTTAATGGTAGGTTTATTTGAACAGTGAGAGACAGAATAACAACAACAAAATCCAGAAAAACACATGTCAAAAATTGTATAAATTAATTTGCATTTTAATGAGGAAAATAAGTATTTGACCCCTCTGCAAAACATGACTTAGTACTTGGTGGCAAAACCCTTGTTGGCAATCACAGAGGTCAGACGTTTCTTGTAGTTGGCCACCAGGTTTGCACACATCTCAGGAGGGATTTTGTCCCACTCCTCTTTGCAGATCTTCTCCAAGTCATTAAGGTTTTGAGGCTGACGTTTGGCAACTCGAACCTTCAGCTCCCTCCACAGATTTTCTATGGGATTAAGGTCTGGAGACTGGCTAGGCCACTCCAGGACCTTAATTTGCTTCTTCTTGAGCCACTCCTTTGTTGCCTTTGCCGTGTGTTTTAGGTCATTGTCATGCTGGAATACCCATCCACGACCCATTTTCAATGCCCTGGCTGAGGGAAGGAGGTTCTCACCCAAGATTTGACGGTACATGGCCCCGTCCATCGTCCCTTTGATGCGGTGAAGTTGTCCTGTCCCCTTAGCAGGAAAACACCCCCAAAGCATAATGTTTCCACCTCCATGTTTGACGGTGGGGATGGTGTTCTTGGGGTCATAGGCAGCATTCCTCCTCCTCCAAACACGGCGAGTTGAGTTGATGCCAAAGAGCTAAATTTTTGTCTCATCTGACCACAACACTTTCACCCAGTTCTCCTCTGAATCATTCAGATGTTCATTGGCAAACTTCAGACGGGCCTGTATGTGCTTTATTGAGCAAGGGGACCTTGCGGGTGCTGCAGGATTTCAGTCCTTCACGGCGTAGTGTGTTACCAATTGTTTTCTTGGTGACTATGGTCCCAGCTGCCTTGAGATCATTGACAAGATCCTCCCGTGTAGTTCTGGGCTGATTCCTCACCGTTCTCATGATCATTGCAACTCCACGAGGTGAGATCTCGCATGGAGCCCCAGGCCAAGGGAGATTGACAGTTATTTTGTGTTTCTTCCATTTGCGAATAATCGCACCAACTGTTGTCACCTTCTCACCAAGCTGCTTGGCGATGGTCTTGTAGCCCATTCCAGCCTTGTGTAGGTCTACAATCTTGTCCCTGACATCCTTGGAGAGCTCTTTGGTCTTGGCCATGGTGGAGAGTTTGGAATCTGATTGATTGATTGCTTCTGTGGACAGGTGTCTTTTATACAGGTAACAAACTGAGATTAGGAGCACTCCCTTTAAGAGTGTGCTCCTAATCTCAGCTCGTTACCTTTATAAAAGACACCTGGGAGCCAGAAATCTTTCTGATTGAGAGGGGGTCAAATACTTATTTCCCTCATTAAAATGCAAATCAATTTATTATATTTTTGACATGCGTTTTTCTGGATTTTTGTTGTTGTTATTCTATCTCTCACTGTTCAAATACACCTACCATTAAAATTATAGACTGATAATTTCTTTGTCAGTGGGCAAATGTACAAAAATCAGCAGGGGATCAAATACTTTTTTCCCTCACATGCATATATATATATATATATATATATATATATATATATATATATATATATATATATATATATATATATATATATGAACGCCATTTAGTATACGCTTTTATCCAAAGCAACTTAGTCATGCGTGCATACATTTTACATATGGGCGGTCCCGGGAATCGAACCCACTATCCTGGCGTTGCAAGCGCCATGCTCTACCAACTGAGCTACAGAGGTACATAGAAGACAAATACCTTTGTCTTTTGAACAAAATGCATTATTCTAATGAAGTGTAATAACAGTCCTATAAACAGCAGCACAGTCATCACATTTTTACACTCTGGACCCCAGATCACACACAACATAGGACCGTGCCTGGACAGTTCCAAATGGGCTCGCGTCACTCCTACAACCAAACCCATCACCTAGTCCCTATAGACATCACATTCTCTCCAGCCATTAAAACCCCTCCAGCTCTGCTCAAGGATGAGTCTATAGCACAGAGGGTGGAACAACAGTTCAGTCACGTTCTCCACATTCATTCTCCACACCCTCCATGACCCTAGCTTTCAGTCAGCCGACAGGGAGGAGGAGGAGGAGATGGAGGGAGGGGAGCGGAGAGATTAACCCATTTCGTACCCTCCCCCAGGATAAACGAACCCCACTCTCTATCAATCCTAAAGCATGTGCCGTTGAATAGGCAGAAGGCGACTTATTGCTTATTTCTAGAGCGAAAATAGGGTTTTATTTTTTCTTGTTCGGATACACAGAACTGCTTTCCATTGGCTATTAATCAGACCAGGGGTGTCATGCACCTCAAAAATCTGAGGGGCACAAAGTACATGAGGATGGCTGTGGGGTTGGTCCGGAAGGGGACTAGCCCCCTTGTCTGGAAAATTGAGAATTTTCCAAACACCTATGATTAATTCTATATATATATATATATTACATATCTAACCATACCTCTGGAGCTGTCTGACTGGTGTCTATTTTTTTTAATAAAATGATGCGGCCCTGTTATTGGTGTGACACAAGTGGCCAGAAATGAACTCGTTTTTTTATTTGATCCAGTTAAAATGCAAAGTGCCAGCTGAGCCATTTGTTGTTTTGGCCTTGCTTCCATTAATCTTTCACATTTGGAGTCCCCCCCACCCTCTATTTTGGCTCCAACTCTCATGACGCTTGGATGCCCTAACAGCGCCCCAGACAAAGCAGCCTGTAGTCTGGTTTTGTTTCGTGCGATTCGCCCCAGCAGCAGCCTGCCTGTGCTCCTTAATCAGAGATATTTGATAAGCCTGTTACGAAACAACTTCCCCCCTTCGTCACGCAGAACAGAGGTCTCTCGCGCAATGTCCTTTCCGAGGAGGTTTGCAGCCAAGGGAATTGTGCCACTCACCGCAATGTGAGACAAGCAATTCGTCATTAATCTGTCACCTGGTGTCATTTGTCCCTCTGTCTACATTAATTTACATTTCAATATAAAATTAATTTTTGTGACAGTGGCCAATGCACACATTTGTATGATTGTCTAGGCATACTGCATTACGGCAACATAATGTCGGCTTTGAAAAGGGCCAAATACAATAGTCATTATCATGTAATTAATTAAAATTACTAAATAAAATGGATTAGTTGTATTCCGATTGATTAATACTTTTCAGGGAAACAGGGGTGTCCAGACTTCAGATTACAACCATGGAGGCGTTTGGTGCGCCATTATTCGAACAGATAAAACCTTGCAGGCCACAAAAACAATTCCACTTATGTGCAATCATTTAATGGTTGTGTTATTTTGTTTCCAGTAGGCAATTCAATGTGAAACCAAACCATTGGGCTCTCCCTCTCACCTTCTGGAGGTTGACGGCTTTGTTTGTTGGTGCATAAAACCAATCCAAAATAATAGGGCCCTAAGCCTATCCAAAAAGTAGTTCAAAGGGTTGTACTTTTTACAGTTTTTATTGCATCAGGGGATCAGCCTACACAGACACGTTTTCGGCAATGACAGTGTCAGGAATTAGGAAACACGGCAACACCCCTGGCTGCATGCATGGTGGTGGTTTTACAATGTGGATTCGGCTCATGAATTAATCAATAAGTAAGCGTCAACATGTTGGCTAAACTTTATCCAACGGCCTAGGATATTTGTAGGCTATAGGGCTAGGATAGGACGAGCACCCAACAGAGAGCATGAGACCTGTACGACATGCCTTCTAATTGCACAGCCTATATTACAGAATCATAGACGTGTCATTCAAAGCACGGCGTGACAAATTCTAAAACCAATGGGTGGCGAGCAGAAAAAGCCAGCCAACACCTCGTGGGTGTCCCTCACTTGACCTAAAACTTGGCTGCCCCAATTCCTATTTAAATAAAATATGTGCCCCTAGTGAAAGGTACGTCGGGGCTGTTATCCTTTCTACTTAGGTGCATTCTGGCTGCTGGTGAGAACACCGCGTAAAGAAAACAATGTGTGGGCGTCAGGAGGCGTCCTTTTACGAGAGAGCGCAGCGAACCGTGCGTGCACACAGAGCTCCTGCTGCGGCACAAAAGCGCTCTGAAGCGGAGAGAAGAGCTCTCCTGTTTCGGGACCGCCGTCCCAGGGGAGACTCGCCTTGGCGAGGAGAAGATTCAATCAAACTGTGACATCTCCAGCGGGAGTCGACTAAGACATTCGATCTCTACAGCTCACTGCAGTGCTGTGGGTTTATTTTCCTTCACAAGCATTTCCACTGATTGTGTCAAACTCGGAAAATAGCGGGCCTATATCCTATTAATAAATTCGGCATATGTTAGAAGTAGCCTATACGTCTACTTAAAGAGAAATGCCTAATTTAGGCCTACATGACAACCAGCTAATATTGTGGCAGCAGAAAAAGCTTGACAACCGTGAGTCAATCACGCTTATCTTTTATGCCTTATTACTCTTTCTACTGTTCAAAATAAAATGAATAAATACATGTTTATCTGACGCCGAATGTTCTCTCAGCGGTTGGCCGACGCCTTTCCATATCACATTTCAAGGTGGTGGATGAAGGAAAAAATATCCTCAAAACCACGGTCTCTCTGGACACGACTCGTCTGGCTGCGTTGAATGCACAAAGGCTCCTGCAGACAGAGATGGCCGCGCTAAAAATAAACAACCCGGGTTGACATAATTGGGGGCGTAGGCCTTC